TTTGCCTTCTCCTCCTGAGTCTTCTCTTCCTACTCTTGCCGACCCGGAGTCGGACTCTCTTCGCGCTGCCAGTCCTACTGTCACGCGTCTCCTTGCTACGGTTGTCACTGACCCTTCCTTTGAGTCCACTGCTGCGTCTGCTCTAGTTGCTGAGCTCGTCGACTTTGCTGCTCGCTATCGCCTAGACTACGTCGCCAGTCTTGTTGCTGAGTCTGAGTCTGTCTGTCCTCCGTCCGTCGGGGGTGAGTGTGCCCTTGGCACGGACGTCCTTGAGGACAGGCAGGAGGAGTTCCAGTGCTTGGCCGCTGCTTCACCTCATCTCGTGTCCGTACTGCTTACCCCTGAGGGAGACCCGGATGCACTTGACATCCCGACTCCGCGCTCTTACGCGGAGGCGATAGAGGGTCCCTACTCCTCTCAGTGGCAGGCAGCTATGGACGCAGAGATGGCTTCCTGGAAGTCCACAGGCACCTACGTTGACGCTGTTCCCCCTCCTGGGGCGAACATCGTCAGTGGCATGTGGATTTTCAGGGTGAAGCGACCGCCGGGTTCTCCGCCTGTCTTCAAGGCGCGTTACGTGGCTCGTGGCTTCAGTCAGCGGCAGGGAGTTGACTACTTTCAGACCTTCTCTCCCACCCCGAAGATGACCACTCTTCGGGTACTGCTGCACGTATCTGCTCACCGTGACTACGAGCTACACTCTCTTGACTTCAGCACTGCTTTCTTGCAGGGCAGCCTGCACGAGGAGATCTGGCTGCGTCGCCCACCTGGCTTCACTGGGTCTTTTCCTCCTGGCACCCAGTGGAGCCTACGGCGGCCAGTCTACGGTCTCCGCCAGGCACCGCGTGAGTGGCACGACACACTGAGGACTACACTTGCGGCTCTTGGGTTTGCTCCCTCTACTGCCGACCCGTCGCTGTTTCTGCGCACCGACACTTCTTTGCCGCCGTTCTACATCCTCGTGTACATCGACGACTTGGTCTTTGCCACAGCTGACACTGCTGGACTAGCCCACGTGAAGTCCGAGCTGCAGAAGAGACATACGTGCACTGACCTGGGTGAACTGCGCAGCTACCTTGGCTTGCAGATCACTCGGGACAGAGCACGCCGCACCATTACCCTGACTCAGTCACACATGGTGCAGCAGGTCCTTCAGCGCTTCGGCTTCACGTACTCCTCGCCTCAGGCCACTCCTCTGCCTACTCGCCACTCGCTCTCAGCTCTGCCTTCGGATGAGTCCGTAGAGTCGAGTGGCCCGTACCCAGAGCTTGTTGGCTGCCTCATGTACCTGATGACCTGCACACGACCTGACCTTGCATACCCTCTTAGCATTCTTGCACGCTATGTTGCTCCTGGGAGACACAGACCGGAGCACATGGCTGCAGCGAAGAGGGTGTTGCGCTACTTGTGCAGTACGTCGGGCATGGGGCTTGTGCTTGGAGGGCAGAGTCCAGTGGTCCTTACTGGGCACGCAGACGCTTCTTGGGCTGACGACCAGGCTACGTAGCGGTCGTCACAGGGTTACACCTTCAGCCTTGGTTCCGGCTCTGTTTCGTGGCGGGCTACTCGCTCGTCTTCTGTTCTCGGCTCCAGTTGTGAGGCTGAGATCTACGCAGGAGCCATGGCTGCACAGGAGCTTCGCTGGCTCACCTACCTGCTGACTGACCTCGGAGAGTTGCCTCGTTCTCCTCCAGTGCTGTACGTAGATAACAAGGCCATGCTGGCCTTGTGTCGGGAGCAGCGACTGGAGCACAGAACGAAGCACATTGCTCTCCGCTACTTTCTTGCTCGTGAGCTGCAGCAGCGTGGTCAGCTGCGTCTTGCGTACGTGGCCTCTGAGGCCAACACTGCTGATATCTTCACCAAGGCACTTGCGCCTTGTGACCATCAGCGCTTCTGTACTCAGCTGGGCCTTGTGCCTACCTTGCCTCACTTGCTCACCTCTTGACCTTGCTTGTACTGTTACATATATATATACCTGCTCTTGTTTGTCTAGCCCTTTTTATATATATGTGTACTCCTGCTTGTGAACTGGCCTTGTGGCCTTGAACTTGTGCTCGGAATGTGTGGTGACTTTGTGATCCACCCTGAGCTTGTTTTGCTTTGCTTTGCTTGACTGGTCTTGTGACCCCTTGTTCTCCCCCACTTTGCCTATGGGGGTGTGTCAGATTTATATGACATAGCTACTGTAGGCTATAGTGGGGTAGCACATATGGGGTACAGTTTTCTAGGGTTTGCTTCTTGTACCCAACTTTCACTTAGTCATTTCATTCCTCGTTTCTTCTCACACACTACTACGGGAATTACTGCTACAAGAGGCATACGACGGAGTGACCTCAGGCCATTTCGGAGTAGAGAAAACACGGCAGCAGCTGCAGCGGTATTATTACTGGCCCGAGATGCTGATCGACGTGCAGCGACACGTGGCATCGTGTCCCACTTGCCAGCTCATGAAGTCATCACGAAAGAGGCCGGCAGGACAATTGCAGCCGATACCACCCCCAGAGCGTGCTTGGCAGTAGGTGACGATGGACTTCGTCACGGGGTTACCGGTCGGAGCAAGTGGGAATGACGCGATCCTAGTCGTCGTCGATTGGCTGACGAAAATGGCACATTTCGCAGCCTGCAAGAAATCAATCACAGCCGAAGAAACAGCCCGCCTCTTCATCTCCACCGTCGTTCGACTACACGGGATACCAGCAGCGATCATCAGCGACCGCGACACGAAATTCACCAGCAACTTCCTGGCGGAACCTGTGGCAGCAGTTCGGCACGCGACTACAGTTTAGTTCTTCGTACCACCCCGAGACCGACGGACAGACAGAACGGACAAACCAGACCATGGAGCAACTCATCCGAGCTATGTGCGACGACCTGACCACCTGGGAACAGCAGCTGCCACTCATCGAATTCGCATACAACAACTCGCCATCCGCCACGACCCAACAGTCACCATTTTATCTGAACTACGGACAAGACCCCACAGTACATATGACCCCAAATCCCGACAACCCGGTGCCACGCGCGCAACAGTTCACCGAAATATTACAAGCAGCGAGAACCAGAGCAGCAGACGCAATAAAAAAATCAAACATCATTGCTAAACGCAACGCCGACCGTCGCCACCGACATGTCACTTACCAGCCCGACGACCTAGTTTTACTCGACACCCATAACCTCCGCCTGCCCATCACCCCAAAACTCGGCCCCCGATATTGCAGGCCATTTCGCATCAGCCACATGATCACACCCGTCACCGCCCACCTCCTCCTCCCTGCTGACTGGTACGTCAGCCCGTCCTTCCACGTCAGCCTGCTTCGCCCTTACGTGCCATCCATCAGCCAACTACCTCGCAACCGCCCGGCCAGCATGGCACGACCACCGACCAAGCCAATCATCACGCCCGAGAAGATTCTGAGCCACCGAGTTCGTGATCCACGGGGAGCTCGAGGGATCGAATTAGGGGGGGGGGGGGGTAGTGTAAGGAAATTTAATTTTCCTTCGCGTCCCTGCTCAGCGCGTACACCACTGTTCCCGCCAACAACACCCAACAGTAATCCGTTATCACTCGCGACACTCGCCTCGACACTGTTCACGACGCGACCCAACCGCACGGTTCGGTTGGTAACCCGCACTCCGGGCCTCCGCCTTGACATTTCCCAACCTCGGCGCTAGGCCCGTCGCGCACCCCATTTTCCACACATTACCGTTACCACTATAGTTTCGCTATATATTCTTCGCTCATGCCTTCGCTCATTGTAATTTTGCTTCGATAGTGCAATTCTCGCTCGTTCACTCAATTGCCCTCGTAACATGGGTAATACAAGCCTGTTAGTATGGTGTGGATCTCTTGACGCTGGTGAGACGGATGCCAGATCAACAGTAGCAGTTCGACATCTAGACTTATCGACGGTTCTCCGGGTTCATCGCAACCAGCAGTTTCCGCCAAACAGCAACACGCCCCAGCAGCATGTGCGCTTGCCTAACATGGACCGTCGATCCCCCACAATCTTTTTTGGGTTGCGTAGCAACCTTATACATTTGGTTTCACTTTTTGGGGAACTGACCATGAACAGTGATTTTTCCCTGCCCGTTTGGGAAAAAAATACTCTTCAACTTTTTAGTTGCCCCAAAAATGTGAAACCAAATGTAACCAATAATTCCATAGTCGTCGATAAATACGGCGAATGGAACAATTGGTTGGACACGAACGTGTACAAGAACAGACCCAAACGACAGCACACAAACTTGTACAAAAACGAGAAACACCAGTTGTGAGTGCTTCGAAGCTAATGCTAGAATGCATCGTGAATGCAACTGCGATTGATCTGGTATGGAAGAGGCAACCAAAGCTGTCCCACCAACGATCACAACCGCAATTGTATACACGAGGCACTTAGCACTCACCCCGAAACAGAGCCACACAACTACATAGCCTACATGTACGCACACACATACGCAGATAGAAAAACACGCAGAAACATACAGCTAATACTAAGCATGCAAGCATAGCCGATGAAGTTCACCAATTAATAAACCATCGCTACCTTGCCCCCCATTCCCCTCCCTCCCCCCCTCCCTGATCTCCCTTAACCCTCCCTACACCCCTCCGTCCCTCCTTCCTTCATCTCCCTCCCACTCCCTCCCTCATCTCCCTTCTCAGCTCACGCGCCCTGCACAAAGCGAAAACAGAGTTCACACACACACGGCCTGTACACAGCAAAAAACAGAGAAGCAAACACACACACGGCCTGCACACAGAAAAAACAGAGAAGCAAACACACACACGGCCTGCACACAGCAAAAACAGAGAAGCAAACACACACACGGCCTGCACACAGCAAAACAGAGTAGCAAACACACACACGGCCCGCACACAGCAAAAACAGAGAAGCAAACACCTTAGAAGCCGACACACTAAACACTAGTGCAGAAAGCGACACTCGTTTGCATAAGTAGTCCCAGCTGCCCAAGCACCAGCAGAATAGATGCTAGTGCATATGCCCCAGCGTGCTCATAAAGCTCTCTCGTGCGTTCTCTCACGCACTCTCTCACGCACTCTCTCACGCACTCTCACGCACTCTCTCACGCGCTCTCTCACACTCTCTCACGTGCTCTCTCACCTGCTCTTTCAGGGCTCTCTCACGTGCTCTCACACACTCTCACGCGCTCCCTCACGCGCTCTCTCACACTTTCTCTCACGCGCTCTCTCACGCCCTCTCTCACGTGCGCTCTCACGGACGCCTTCACGCGTCTCTCACGCGCTCTCTCACGCGCTCTCTCCTCGCTCTCTCACGCGCTCTCTCACGCGCACTCTCCTCGCTCTCTCACGCGCTCTCTCACGCGCACTCTCACACGCTCTCTCATGTGCTCTCTCACGTGCGCTCTCACGCGCGCTTTTACGCGCTCTCTCACGCGCTCTCTCACGCGCTCCCTCACGTGCTCTCTCACGCGCTCTCTCACGCGCACTCTCATGCACTCTCTCACGCGTCTCACTCGCTCTCTCACGCGCTCTCTCTCACGCGCTCTCTCTCACGCGCTCTCTCTCATGCGCTCTCTCTCATGCGCTCTCTCTCACGCGCTCTCTCTCACGCGCTCTCTCTCACGCGCTCTCTCTCTCTCATGCGCTCTCTCACGCGCTCTCCCACGCGCTCTCCCACGTGCTCCCTCACGTGCTTTCTCTCACGCACTCTCACTTGCACTCTCACGTGCACTCTCACGTGCACTCTCACTCGCACTCTCATTCGCTCCCTCACGCGCACTCTCATCTGCACTCTCACGCGCTCTCTCACGCGCACTCTCACGAGCTCTCTTACGCGCACGAGCACTCTCACGCGCACGCGCTCTCTCACGCGCACGCTCTCCCTTACGCGCATGAGCTCTCTCACGCGCTCTATCACGCGCACTCTCAGGAGCACTCTCACGGGCACGCGCTCTCTCACGCGCTCCCTCACGTGCTCTCTCACGCGCTCTTTCACGTGCTCTCTCACGCGCTCTCTCTCACGCGCTTTCTCTCACGCGCTCTCTCTCACGCGCTCTCTCTCATGCGCTCTCTCTCATGCGCTCTCTCTCACGCGCTCTCTCACGCGCTCTCTCTCACGCGCTCTCTCTCACGCGCTCTCTCTCATGCGCTCTCTCACGCGCTCTCCCACGCGCTCTCCCACGTGCTCCCTCACGTGCTCTCTCTCACGCACTCTCACTTGCACTCTCACGTGCACTCTCACGTGCACTCTCACTCGCACTCTCATTCGCTCCCTTACGCGCACTCTCATCTGCACTCTCACGCGCTCTCTCACGCGCACTCTCACGAGCTCTCTTACGCGCACGAGCACTCTCACGCGCACGCGCTCTCTCACACGCACGCGCTCCCTTACGCGCATGAGCTCTCTCACGCGCTCTATCACGCGCACTCTCAGGAGCACTCTCACTCGCACGCGCTCTCTCACGCGCTCCCTCACGTGCTCTCTCGTGCGCTCTCTCGTGCGCACTCTCACGCGCGCTTTCCTGCGTGTTCGCTCCCGTGTACATGCTCTCCCTCGCGCTCCGTCTCTCCCCTTCTTCAAATGAAATTGCAATGCGAGAGGAGACCAATCTACACAAAAACTTTACGAGGAGAGCAAAGAAAACAAAAAAGAGGGGAGGGAGGGGGGGAGGAGAATTCAGTGGGGGAAGGGAGGATGAAAGGACCGGGAACGCACCTGATAATCACGGTGTTTCAGAAAACAACCCGCGCTCGCGCACCAACACTCGCGCTTGCGCTCGTGCACCTGCCGCCGGAGGCGACGGCGGGGAGGAGGGAGAGGCGACGGCGGGGAGGAGGGAGATGCGACGGCGAGGAGGAGGGAGAGGCGACGGCGAGGAGGAGGGAGAGACGACGGCGGGTAGGAAGGAGAGGCGACGGCGGGTGGGAGGCGACGGCGGGTGGAAGGGAGAGAGGACGGCGCGGTGGGAAAGAAAGGATGGCGGGGTGGAGGTAGAGGCTACCACGAGGTGGTTGGTTGGGAGAAGCAACAGGTGGGTGGGTTTGTCACGTGAAAACACACGCACAATCACGTGACACTGAGTGGGCTGAAAACAACTCACTATGAACCACAAAATAGTGCAATGTTACAGTACAAAGTAAAGAGAACATCATTGTTCACTATATAAAACAAAAAACGATCAATGTGTCTAGATATTAACGTATTAGAAACATCAATTGTTAAGAATCATAAACATCCACGTTGAAAAGAATAGATTGAACCATAAAAAAACGCTTGCAATATTCCTTGAACGGTAGGCCTAAATTTGACGCTTTTAAAAAACTGCAAAAAAAAATTGTCAACTAAGAATGTAACATCTACGCAACCCTTCCGACGTTAACGTCGAGTCTTCTCAACTGTAACTTTTGACGATCGACCTTTACAGCCACCACCCCAGACAAGCGATCTTTTCCTCTCGATTCTCTACCCCCCTCTATAGTATCACCACCTCTACCCCCCTCTATAGTAGAGACGTGGGGGTGTCTCGGCGGTCGTTTTCGGCGGTGGCTTCGTCAGCAGGGGGATGCGCACATGGGGTTAGCTGTGTCGCGGGGGGCTTGTCGGGAGGACGACTCTGTGTTTTCGGCTTATCTTTTAGGGTCATTGAAGGCGCTCATCGGGGTGGCGTTACAACGTGCGCAGGCCCGAGTCATCCTGCTGCGGGCGGCGTCTTCCATGGGGGGAATTAACGTGGACTTGGTCGATCGGGAGAGGGACGATGTCGATGTGGAAGGCGGGGCTCTTTGGGTGGAGGCCCCGTACATGGTGGATACGCTGTTGTGATTGGGGGGGGGGGGGGGGAATGGGGTGTGGGATGGGACGTCTTGATGGGGTGTCTTGATTGGGGGTTTTGATTGGGTATCTTGAGGGGGGGTTTTATGTGTGTTGCGTTTGGTTTCTTTGTGGCAATTTCACTTTCCTTCTCCCTTTCTTTCTTCATTTCCCTTCTCCTTGTTGAGTCTTTCTTTCCCTCCTTTTCCTCTTTCTGTTTAGGTCCTTGAGAGATTCATGTTTGTACAAACTGATACTAACAACAAATGTGCCGTTCGTAAAAAAAAAAAAAAAAAAAAAAAAAAAAAAACCACCTCTATCCCGTGTTGGTTTCCATCCTGTATCATTTTTCCTTCACATTCATTTCTCCCGTCCGCCAAAAAATATTCAAAGACGCCTATTCCCTCATTAGTATCCACCCCGCCACGGAATCAACGACAGTCTCGGCGATCCGCCATGTGCCAGGCATAACGGCGCTAATTGTCGCGCTGCTCGTAACGTCGCGTCCCCATGCCATCACGAGTATCGTCGGAACCTTTTAGGGTTCGAGCTGCCATGACGATGTATTTGCGAGCCGCGGGAGGGCCAAGTCGTATTTCTTTCCAGTTTATTGGTCTTCCTACCTTCTCTGTATAGTATAGCTACTATTCCAGCATCCCCAGACTCGGATAGACTAGTGTATTGAACAACCCACACCTTCGCATAGGCGTTTCTTTCGTCGTATTAGATGGGGTTGGAGACGCCACAAGAGCTGGAGCACGCGGGCGGTAGGGAAGCGTCAGGGCACCCCGCATTAGGCGCGGGACCGAGCGCGAACCAGTCAGGGGGAGAGGCGCCGCACCCGGCAAATGCGGAGGCGAAAGCGGAGATGGACGCGGATGAAGCAGCGCGGGAGAAGCAGCGGAGAAAGCAGAGCTCGACAGGGCAGGTGATGGAGGTGCCGCCCATGGACGAGTACTTGTGCCCCATCTCGGGCGACGTCATGGACGACCCCGTTACGATCGCGTCGGGCCACACCTTCGACCTCAAGTCCATTCAAAAGTTCTTCGACGGTGAGCGCCGCGCGAGAACGCGAGTGCGCGAGTGCACGCGAGCGGAGGGTCATCCGTGGAGCTGAGGACGGTTCTCGGGAGGTTAAGGTGTCTGTTACGAAAGCATGAGTGGAAATGCGAGGGCGAGAGATAGGCTTGGAGAAGCGGAGAAGCAGGGACGAGGCCTGATACAGGCCACATTGCCGTGCACGGCTGGCCGGCTTCGGTGCAACGCTTCGCTTGCGATAGGTGGCTAGCATACTGTTGCGGGAGGGGTTGAGCACTGGCGCGTCTGTTCTCAGGCTCCTATATCGCCACCGTAACGGCGACGACCATACCGGCCACACCGCTTCATCAAGTTACAGCATCCTAAAACTGCCTCTTGCTGCCCCGCCTCTCTTTCCCACCCCGTTCCACCCCTCTCCATCCCTCCGTTCCCCTCTCCACCCCTCTTCCGCGCAACGCGCGCAGAGGGCAACAAGCACTGCCCCGTAACGCAGGAGCCGCTGGAGAACCTCGAGATGACGCGCAACGAGGACATGGCGCGATCCATCGACGAGTGGCGCGCGCGCAACACGGTGATGCGCATCCAGGCGGCGCGGCCGAAGCTGCAGTCAGCGAAGGAGGAGGAGGTGGAGGGCGGGCTGCTGGAGCTGTTCCAGCTGTGCGAGGAGCGCGCCACCAACCGGTACTGGGTGGCGGCGGAGGGGCTCATCCCCGTCGTCGTCAACCTCCTCAAGTCCACCAGCCGCAACCTCCGACGGAAAACGCTCGCCACGCTCGCCAACCTCGCCAACGGGAATGACGAGAACAAGGTGCGGGGGATTGTGGTGTACGGGTGCATGTGTTGGAGAAGGGGGACAGAGAGGAGGACGTGGGAAGTCGGGCTTCCGCCAATTCCTGTCCGCCACAGCCTCTTCCCCATACTGTCTCCGCTGGAGGTCGTCGCACGCTCAGGCGCTTTAGTGCGCACTCTTAGAGGCCCCTCGTAGTCTAAGAGCCTCCTCGCACTCTTAGGGGCTCCTCCAACGCGAAACCAATCCCTTCCCACATCCCCCGCACGACCTTGCCACTCGCTACCCTCTCCGTTTCCCTCCCCCCATTTTCCCCCCTTCCCCTCCCACGCGTCCCCACCACTCCCCACCACTCCCCCCCACGCATCCGCCTCACTCCCTCCGCACGTGCGGGGCGGCATGCAGGAGCTGGTGGTGGACGCAGGCGCCATTCAGCTGGCCGTGCGCTCTCTCTCCCGTGATGTGGGCGAGAGCCGGCAGGCCGTGGCGCTGCTGCTGGAGCTGTCGAAGAGCCCCAAGGTGTGCGAGGAGATAGGGCGCGCGCAGGGCTCCATCCTGCTGCTCGTCACCATGCTCAACAACGAGAACGCCAACGCCGCCAAGGACGCGGCGGCCGTGCTGCAGCAGCTGGCCAGCAACGACCAGAACGTCGTGCAGATGGCCGAGGCCAACCACTTCAAACCGCTCGCCGACCGCCTCACCACAGGTCGGCTCCCCTGCCTCCCCCATCCTGCTGCTGCTGCTGCTGCTGCTGCTGCTGCTGGGGTGTTGGTGGAAGGTTGTTGCAAGTGTGCTGTTACAGGAGGGATTGATCTTGCTCTTTTGCGCGGTGACAAAGTCCAGTCCAAACACTGAGTCGTGCCCACCGTCCCCGTGTTTCCACAGAATAGAATAGAATGGAAATTTGCCAACAAAATAGAATATCGCCAACCTCATCTCCCACTAACCCATCTGTCTCTCCCGTCTCCTCCCCTCCTCCCTTCTCCTTCCTGACCTCCTCTCTCTCTCTCTCTCTCTCTCTCTCTCTCTCTCTCCCCCCCCCCCTCCATTCCCTTCCTGCTTCTCTCTCCTGTTCCTCCCTCCACCTCTCACCTGCTTGCCATCCCCCTCCCCTCGCCCTCCCCCCTCCCTCCCCCTATGCTCCGACATGTCCCTCTAGATTGAAATTGCTCTTCACAGCTGTCAGATTCGCCCCTATGCTCCACCTTCGCCCCTTCCCCTCCACCTTCGCCCCCTCCTTTCCACCTTCGCCCCCCTCCTTTCCACCTTCGCGCCCCTCCTTTCCACCTTCGCCCCCCTCCCTTCCACCTTCGCCCCCTCCCTTCCCCTTCTCACCTCCCCCTCGTCCCCCGTCCCTCCCCCGTCCGCCCTCCCTCCAGGCTCGGGCATGACAAGGGTCGTGATGGCGACTGCACGCCCCTTCTTACGCCCCGCTACATCCTGCTTGCTATTCACTCCCAACCAACACGTCCCTTCCTCGCCCTACCACTCGCCCTACCCCTCGCCCCACCCCGCGCCGTGCAGGCTCGGACATGACGCGGATCGTGATGGCGAGCGCACTATCCCGCATGTCCTTGACGGACCAGAGCAAGGCAGTGCTGGTGCAGCAGGGCGCCATCCCGCCGCTCGTCACCATGATCGCCGCGGGCAAGCTCGAGGCCAAGGCAGCGGCCCTGGGCGCGCTGCAGAACCTCTCGTCGCTGGCGGCCAACCGCAACGAGCTCATCCGCGCGGGCGTGGTGCCGCCGCTGCTGACGCTGCTCTTCTCCGTGACGTCCGTGGTGATGAGCCTCAAGGAGGGTGCCGCCGCCATCCTCGCCAACATCTCCCTGGCGGCGGGCGCACAGGCGGAGACTCGGATCGACGGCAGCGGGGCCATTCTGGAGTCGGAGGAGACCATCTTCCAGCTGCTCTCGCTCATGAACCTCGCTGGCCCCAACATCCAGGTGCGCTGCTCTCGCTCATGAACCTCGCTGGCCCCAACATCCAGGTGCGCTGCTCTCGCTCATGAACCTCGCTGGCCCCAACATCCAGGTGCGCTGCTCTCGCTCATGAACCTCGCTGGCCCCAACATCCAGGTGCGCTGCTCTCGCTCATGAACCTCGCTGGCCCCAACATCCAGGTGCGCTGCTCTCGCTCATGAACCTCGCTGGCCCCAACATCCAGGTGCGCTGCTCTCGCTCATGAACCTCGCTGGCCCCAACATCCAGGTGCGCTGCTCTCGCTCATGAACCTCGCTGGCCCCAACATCCAGGTGCGCTGCTCTCGCTCATGAACCTCGCTGGCCCCAACATCCAGGTGCGCTGCTCTTGCTCATGAACCTCGCTGGCCCCAACATCCAGGTGCGCTGCTCTCGCTCATGAACCTCGCTGGCCCCAACATCCAGGTGCGCTGCTCTCGCTCATGAACCTCGCTGGCCCCAACATCCAGGTGCGCTGCTCTCGCTCATGAACCTTGCTGGCCCCAACATCCAGGTGCGCTGCTCTCGCTCATGAACCTCGCTGGCCCCAACATCCAGGTGCGCTGCTCTCGCTCATGAACCTCGCTGGCCCCAACATCCAGGTGCGCTGCTCTCGCTCATGAACCTCGCTGGCCCCAACATCCAGGTGCGCTGCTCTCGCTCATGAACCTCGCTGGCCCCAACATCCAGGTGCGCTGCTCTCGCTCATGAACCTCGCTGGCCCCAACATCCAGGTGCGCTGCTCTCGCTCATGAACCTCGCTGGCCCCAACATCCAGGTGCGCTGCTCTCGCTCATGAACCTCGCTGGCCCCAACATCCAGGTGCGCTGCTCTCGCTCATGAACCTCGCTGGCCCCAACATCCAGGTGCGCTGCTCTCGCTCATGAACCTCGCTGGCCCCAACATCCAGGTGCGCTGCTCTCGCTCATGAACCTCGCTGGCCCCAACATCCAGGTGCGCTGCTCTCGCTCATGAACCTCGCTGGCCCCAACATCCAGTTGCGCTGCTCTCGCTCATGAACCTCGCTGGCCCCAACATCCAGGTGCGCTGCTCTCGCTCATGAACCTCGCTGGCCCCAACATCCAGGTGCCGTGGTCGCTTGACCTACACACCTGTTAGTTTCTTTTTGGGCTTCATGTTAGCACCACACACACACCACACTGGGCCTTCATATGGTGCAGCAGCCTGGGACAAAGATAACCAGGGCGTATCCTTGTATCTCTTATGCATGTCCCTTAATCTGTCTCCTCCCTCTGCCCTGCCGCTCACCCGTCTCCTTATATACCATGGCATCTGAGGGTGTGCATGTGCATGTGCATGTCCATGCGTGCATGTGTGCGAGTGTGTGTGTGTGAGAGAGTGTGTGTGCACGCGTGCACGTCCATGTGCATGTGCTGGCAGGTGAATCTACTGAAGGCGCTGCTGGGCATGGCGTCGGTACCGCAGGCCATGGAAGTGCGCAACCGCATGATAGTGGGCGGAGCAGTCGACGTCCTCATCCCCTTCATTGACGGCTCTGAAGGGGTCCGTGCCTCCTCACCTGCTCCCCGCCCCCGCCCCCGCTGCTGCTGCTGCTGCTGCTGCTGCTTGTGGGGTTGGGTGCTGAGTGGTGTGTTCTACTTGTTGTTTTGTGCTGTTTTCTTAGGCACGTACAATAGCCTGCTTGCCTGCCGACTCCAGCTCTGCCTCTGCCTCTGCCTCTGCCTCTGCCTCTGCCTCTGCCTCTGGGCACAATTGCGGCCACTCATCCCATTGCCCTCACCGGCTTGACCTCTCCCTCCCCTCTCAGCTGCCACCCCTGCCGCTACCAGCCCCTCCTCCCCCCCTTCCCCTCCTCCTTCCCAACTTCCTGCGCCTCCCCGTCCCCTCCCCCCACTCCTTTCTTTCTCACTCCTCCCCCGTCCCTCCCTCCACCCCTCCCCCGTCCCTCCCCTCATCCCGTCCCTTATGGTGCACGCACCCATGGGCCTGCCACCGCCCTCCCCCATGCGCACCAGGGGCCAGCAACGCGCCCGTTGGCAGCGAGGGTGTTGAGGGAGCTGTCAAAGGAGGCGGAGGCGGGCAGGAGTGTGGCGGGCAGCCTCATGGAGGGGCAGGCAGCGGCGCTCAAGGCCATCATCGCCATGCTGCACGACAAGGACTCGTTTGATAACCGCGCTGCTGCTGCCGGCCTCATCGCTGCGCTGCCTGCCACTGACGCCAAGCTCAACCAGGCTCTCGTGCAGGTGGGTGTGCGCGTGGGTGTGACGGGGGGTCATCTTTGAGCCGACTGAAACAACGACGCCTGACAACCGCGCTACTGCTGCTTCTCTTATTGTGGCGTTGCCGCCTAGTGACGTGACACCAAGCTGACGAGACTCATGTCCAGGTGGGTGGGTGGGTTGAGGTGCATGTGTGTATCCATGTGTGTATCCATGTGTGTATCCATGTGTGTATCCATGTGTGTGTGCATGTGTGTGTGCATGTGTGTGTGCATGTGTGTGTGCATGTGTGTGTGCATGTGTGTGTGCATGTGTGTGTGCATGTGTGTGTGCATGTGCTGCTTATTTTCTGCCACGTATCCCCCTTGCAAGGAAGCATCGCCATGGTCTGCCTGGGCATGTCGTTGTCTGCTTCTTGATTGGTGTAGCGCCCTCAAGCCGTCCAAAGAACATGCATGGCACGCCCTGCAAATCCATCTTGCATCTCCTTCCGACCTTCCTTCTCTTCTCCCCCTGGCACTCCCTTCCTCCGCGTGCTCGCCCCGGCAGGCGGATGTGGTGCAGACGCTGGTGACGATGCTGGGCATGAAGGGGGGCGGCGTGGGCACCAACGCGCAGCTCAAGGATGCGGCGCTGGAGGGCGCTGCTAACGCCCTCGTGCGCTTCACTCTCCCCTCCAAGTATGCCTCCATGCCCCCTCCGTGCACCATGCATGCACCATCCATGCACCATCCGTGCACCATCCATGCACCATCCGTGCACCATGCATGCACCATGCATGCACCATCCACCCTCCGTGCATGCACACTCCTGTATCTGCTGCCGCTTGTCACCATCCCGAGCAGACTGCTTCCCCCCATTTGACGTTCTGTCCAACCTCGCACTCCCCTTGCTCCTCTCAATTTCCTCTGATTATACTACCCACCTGGTTAAGCCGTCGTGGTTAAGCCCACCAGTCTCCCTGTTTCGCCCCTGCATTGCCGCTTACCAGCAGGCTTACGAACTGCGGGATGGTCCTAGCTCTGCTAAATCCCCTTTCCCCTTCCCCTTCCCCTTCCCCTTCTCCCCCTTATCCCGCCCCCCTTTCCCTCGTGCCCCCCCGTCGAGCAGCATCAAGCAGCAGCAGCAGCTGGCGGAGCTAGGAGCCATCCCGCAGCTGGTAACCCTGCTGGTGACGGGCAACGCGGGGGCGAAGAGGGGAGCAGCGCTGTGCCTGGGCAACTTCTCCGACTCCACCCCCACGCTCTCCGTGTCCGTCAAGGCCAAGTCGGGCGGGTGCTGCTTCAAGGCGCCCGAGGAGCCCAAGTGTGTGGTGCACGGGGGCACGTGCTCCGTGCGCGCGTCCTTCTGCCTGCTGGAGGCGGAGGCCATCGACCCGCTCGTGGGCGCCATGGGCGAGAAGGACCCTCTCACGGCCGAGGCCGCTCTCACGGCGCTGTCCACGCTCATGGCGGACTCGTGCCGCTGGGAGGCCAGCGTCAAGATCATCCATGAGTCTGGTCAGCCACGTTGCTGGGTCGGGTCCAGTGCCTGGGGCTTGTTTCGGTGTTGAGAGGGGTGGGATGGGGTTGGATGGGATGCGAGGGTTGAGTGGGCAAAGCAGTGTGGATCAAGGCATTTGATTCTCAGGAGTGCGTCTATTACTTTATTTTCTGGCATTTCGGCTTTCCATGGATTGTCCGTTGGGGTCTAGCTGGATGGGCTGGGTCGCAGGGCATTGGTGTTGCGGGATCACACCCTGCCACCCCATCAAGTTCTTGTCGCCTATCCCCATCCCCATGCCGCCCCCATCCCCTGTCCCCATCCCCGTTCCCATCCCACCCCTCCTGCCTGACGAATCCCTTCTCTCTGCCTCCCTGCCGCTTCTCCTCCGCGCTCCCTCCCTCCCTCTCTCTGCCCTGCCTGGCGTCCTCCCCTCTCCATCTACCTGTCTCTCTTGTGTCCACCAGGCGGGTTTGGGCGGGTGGTGCAGCAGCTGAGTGAGGGCACGGAGAGGGCGAAGGAGAAGGGGGTGTGGATGTTGGAGAAGCTGTTTCGCCTCGAGGAGTACAAGTTTGAGTACGCCACCAAGGCGCAGGGCGCGCTCATTGAGATCACCCAACACGGCTCCAACGAGACCAAGCCCGTCGCTGCTAAGATCTTGAGCCATCTCGAGCTGCTGCACCAACAGTCTAGCTATTTCTGAGCGGCTTACGGGGTTTGGGCGGTTAGGTTAGGTTCAGGTGCTTGGGAAGATGCGAGGGCGGTGAGTGTGAGGGTGTAGGTGTGTGCTTTGGGTGAGGTGGGTGTGGGAGGTAGTGTGGATGGTGAAGGAGTGTGGGTGGTGGTGGGTTGGGTGTGGGTGAGTGAGTGGGTTGGCATGGCACGATCTGTGGTGTGCCATTGTGTTCATTGTTGCTAGCTGGGTTTGCTGCTTTCCTTGGCAGTCCGGGATGGCAGTTGAAGAGTCAAGTAGCCTTAATTATCTACCAGTGCTTGGTGTTCAAGCTTATTTAGCTATTTGAGCACAGGAGATCTCGTGCACGTCACATGCCCGAGAATTGTGCAGATCTTGGATTTGAGTAAACATTATGTAGGGTTATAGTAGTAGATTGTACGGTAGTGTAGCTGAGCATGAATCTGTACTTTGACTGTTCAAGCAAAAAGACTTTTATACGATATTGAGAAAGCTTGCTTTCTTGTCCTTGCTGACCCGTCGCTGTTTCTACGCACCGACACTACTCTGCCGCCGTTCTACATCCTCGTGTACGTCGACGACTTGGTTTTTGCTACTGCTGACACTGAGGCACTGACCCTAGTGAAGGCGGAACTGCAGGAGAGACACACCTGCGTTGACCTGGGTGAGCTGCGGAGCTATCTTGGCTTGCAGATCACCCGGGACAGAGCACGGCGCACCATCACCCTGACTCAGTCACACATGGTGCAGCAGGTTCTTCAGCGCTTCGGCTTCTCGGGGTCCTCGCCACAGCCCACTCCTCTGTCTACCGGCCACTCGCTCTCAGCTCCACCTTCGGACGAGTCCGTAGAGCCGAGTGGTCCATACCCAGATCTTGTGGGTTGCCTCATGTACCTGATGACGTGCACACGACCTGACCTCGCGTACCCTCTCAGCCTACTGGCTTGCTACGTGGCACCCGGTAGACACCGAAAGGTGCACTTTGATGCTGCGAAGAGGGTACTGCGTTACTTGTGTAGTACATCGGGCATGGGGCTCGTGCTTGGAGGACGGGGTTCAGTGGTCCTCACAGGAGACTCTGACGCTTCTTGGGCCGACGACCAGGCGACTCAGCATTCGTCACAGGGTTACACCTTCAGTCTTGGCTCTGGTTCTGTCTCGTGGAGGTCCACTCATTCTTCTTCTCTGCTTGGCTCCAGCTGCGAGTCCGAGATCTACGCTGGGGCAATGGCTGCACAGGAGCTACGCTGGCTGACCTACCTGCTGACCAACTTGGGGGAGCGGCCTCGTTCTCCTCCAGTTCTGTATGTCGACAACAACCTGACCTCGCGTACCCTCTCAGCCTACTGGCTTGCTACGTGGCACCCGGTAGACACCGAAAGGTGCACTTTGATGCTGCGAAGAGGGTACTGCGTTACTTGTGTAGTACATCGGGCATGGGGCTCGTGCTTGGAGGACGGGGTTCGGTGGTCCTCACAGGAGACTCTGACGCTTCTTGGGCCGACGACCAGGCGACTCAGCGTTCGTCACAGGGTTACACCTTCAGTTTTGGCTCTGGTTCTGTCTTGTGGAGGTCCACTCATTCTTCTTCTCTGCTTGGCTCCAGCTGCGAGGCCGAGATCTACGCTGGGGCCATGGCTGCCTTGTGTCGAGAGCAGAGACTGGAGCACAGAACGAAGCACATTTCTATTCGCTACTTCCTTGCGCGTGAGCTTCAGCAGCGTGGTCAGCTGCGCCTTGCTTACGTGGCCTCTCGGGCCAACACTGCTGATGTCTTCACCAAGGCCCTTGGGTCTGGTGATCATCAGCGTTTCTGCACAGCTCTTGGGCTTGTGCCCACTCTGCCTCACCTGCTGGTTGCTTGACTAGCTCTTGTTGTACACTGATATATATCTTTATACCTGCTTGTTTACTCTTGCTAGGTTGTGATCAGTGTACTGCCTTGCTATTATAACTCTACATGTGAACTGGCCTTGTGGCCGCTTGCTTGTGCTGAGAATGCGTGGTGACCTTGTGATACACCATGGGCTTTGCTTTGCTTTGTTCTCTTGCCTGACTGGTCTTGTGACCGTCTGTTGTGGTTGCTATCTCCCACTTAGCCTATGGGGGTGTGTCAAACTGTATGTTTGTGTTATCTCTAGGCTATAGTGGGTTAGCCTACAAGGGTACAACACTTTAGGGTTAGGTACTTGTACTCATGCATGCTACCTAGTCCATCATTCCTGCATGCTTCCGCTAATACATTACTCTGAGCTTTAGTCCTTGAAAACGATCCTAAGGGCTTTTCTCAGCCCAACATCGTACCGAAGCTAGCAAGGACAAGGCTCAACTATCTCCACTTCCTACAACAACAGAAGACATGGCAACAGAGAAGGAAACGAGCTCGTCCACTGGATCTCCCAGCACTACTCCTACACTTCAACTGCAGTCACAATTCGCACACGTGCTAAAACTGCAAACGTCAACACCATTTGACGGGAAGGACTTCTATACCTGGTCCTTCGAATTCGAGCTGATGATGGAGGGTGCTCAAATCCTTGGTTTCGTCGACGGTTCCCTGCCATATCCAACGCACGGGACACAGTACGACAAGAAGTACATGTATCAGTCACTAATGGCGTACACTATTCTCCTGCGAAACTTAACGGCAAACGAGCAGCAGAACATCCAAACTTATCGCGGATACGGTAACTCCGCCGAGCTCGCGTACAACCATTTGAAGAACCTGTATCAAGCAAACGACAGCGTGAATCAGAGTCGTCTCATGGCACAATTGACAACAGTCCCAATGCAACCCGGTGAAAAGGGAATGGCTTATATCAGTCGCTGCCGCGGTCTACGCGACAGACTCCTTCGGTGTGGCGGAGCACTATTCAAAGACGCCTTCGTCATCGTCATCATCGCATGCCTCGGTCCTCAGTGGCGCTCCACCCGGGCCATTCTCCGGGCCCACGGAAGACTCTCCGAAGCAAACCTCTGTGCAGAAATCCATGTCGAACAACAAGATATGGACCTCCACGAAGAACGACACAAAAAAAGGGCATCACTACCAAAGTTTGCCTTTCACACTCAGCGGCGCAACAACAACAACACTCAAGGGCGACTTGCTGTAACCTATAAGCCTATGAATGCATATAAACATTATTTGGCACCCACCCCCCACAAAACATGTTTTTTATAACCTCATGCGCAGTTATATCTGGGGGCTGGCGTCGAAGGAGCAAACCCAAGAGCCGCAAGTGTCGTCCTCAGTGTGTCGTGCCACTCGCGGGGCGCCTGACGCAGGCCGTACACTGGTCGCCGTAGGCTCCACTAGGTACCCTCAGGAAACGACCCAGTGAAGCCCTCTGGACGGCACAACCAGATGGCCTCGTGAAGGCTACCCTGTAGGAGAGCTTTCGAGAAGTCGAGGGAGTGCAGCTCGTAGTCGCCCTGTGCTGTAACGTGCAGCAACACCCGAAGAGTGGTCATCTTCGGGGTAGGGGAGAAGGTATGAAAGAAGTCGACCCCCGCACGCTGACTGAAGCCTCGAGCAACGTAACGTGCCTTGTAGGCAGGCGGAGAACCCGGGGGCCGCTTCACTCTGAAAATCCACATGCCGCTGACAATGTTCGCCCTAGGTGGGGGAACCTCGTCGACGTTGGTGCCTGTGGACTTCCAGGAAGCCATCTCTGCGTCCATGGCTGTCTGCCATTGAGAGGAGTACTCACCCGAAATCGCCTCTCTGTAAGAGCGCGGGGTGGGGATGTCAAGTGCATCCAGGACTCCCTCAGGGGCAAGCAGCATGGTCGCGAGATGGGGTGAAGCGGCCGCAAGGCACTCCAGCTCCTCCTGCCTATCCTCAAGAATGTCACAGCCAAGGGCAGTACAGCCAAGGGCAGTCTCACCCCCGACGGACGGAGGACAGGCAGGGACAGGGTCAGAAACAAGGCTCGCAAGGTAGTCTAGGCGGTACACAGCAGCAAAGTCAACGAGCTCAGCGACTAAGGCAGACACAGCAGGAGACGAGAACGAAGGGTCAATCACCACCGTAGCAAGAAATCGAGTAACAGTCGGACTGGACGCACGAGCAAGGTCAGACGGAGGGTTAGCAACGTCAGGAAGAGAGGACGCAAGAGGTAACGGGAGGACAACACGCTGTTGAAACAGAGGAAGGACAGAGTGTCATATCGTGAGTGCCTGGGACAGCCGGAGGACGCTGGCGACGAACACGAGGAACACGAGTACGGATAGCGGCTCTAGGCTCAGGCTCAAGGTCAAAGCTAGACTCAGGCTCTCGACGCTCAAGGGTGGAAGCACGAGTCTCAGGCTCTCAACACTTAGACAGGGACTGTGTCACCGCAGTGTAAGGAGTAGGGGCAGGCAGTGGGAGTGCGGTAGCAGCGGCGGCTGAGACTGGTCGGCCGGTGGAAACAGTAACGGAGGAGTAGTAACTGCCACAGGGAAGTCAGTAGCACCTGGCGGAAGACTGAGAAGGTGGCGAAGAGCACCAGCAGCTCCCGTACCTCCAGCACGAGCAGCACCAGCACCTCCAGCACCTCTAGCACCACTAGCTCCGGCAGCTCCAGCACCTCTAGCCCCCGCAGTACCTCCAGCACCTCCAGTGCCAACAGCTCCAGTAGCACCTCCAGCACCTCCAGCACCAGTAGCACCACCAGCTCCGGCAGCTCCAGCACCTCTATTACAATCACCTCCAGGACCAGCAGCTCCAGCACCTCCAGTACCTCCAGCTCCAGCGCCTCCAGCACCAGCAACACCAGCACCTCCAGGGTCAGCACCTCCAGTAGCACCTCCAGCACGAGCAGCACCACCAGGACTAGTAGCTCCAGTACCTCCAGCACTAGCAGTAGCTCCAGTACCTCCAGCAGTACCTCCAGGACTAGCAGCTCCAGTACCTCCAGCACCAGCAGCACCTCTAGTACCTCCAGCAGTACCTCCAGCACCTCCAGCACCTCTAGGACTAGTAGCTCCAGCACCAAGAGGACTGTACCCTCCACCACCAGGACTGC